AAATTTTGCTAAGGGCAGTTGCAGAGGATATACGTTCGGAATTTTGGCACCAGGAGCACAGTCCCCGTACCAATTGGTCATGGCCTGTAGAAAAAAGTCGGTACTAAAGAATATTCTAATATAGCAGTTATAATACTGATGTCTGCCTACAGATACATGTGATTGACTAAGGTATTTGCGAGATGTTTTCAGTACTACACTGAAAAAGACAACTACCGGGGTACTCTGGGTTCGAACAAAACATTGACGCACATTATGAATGTGGCATGACAAGAAAAACAGCGAGATAGCGGGGTTTTATTTGCAATAGCGACTACGGAATCTACATGCGCATGCTATTTGCAAGATGGCGTGTTTAAACAGAAACATAAAAAATATGGTCGTGCAGAGTAGTTAGATAACAGCGCATAGAAATGTTGACCAACAAAGCAGTTACCACATCAGAAGGGTCAGGGAATCATGACTGATGAAACTGCACAGAAGCAGCGGGCATGTACAGACCTTACATTAGACTCTGAAGAATTCTATCAGGGTCAGCTTTCTAGACTACAAGATTTTTGCTTCTCAGTCGTCCGTACATTAAAGATTCACACCCAAGGCGTAAAGGTTTAATGCTCTATTTTATGTAGCAAACAAATATGATATCGACACATTCACAGCATGCGGTGTTGACAGGTAGCACCCTCTGTTGGCGACCACATAGCTCTCCCTCTCACACCTTATATTTGGCAACAACAGTCAAAGCAGCAAAAGGGCAAAAGAGCACATCGCAGAAGCACATGTATATTTGAGAAAAGAATACGACAATAATATAAACAATATCGAGTGTACCATAGTGCGTTTTGTCCGACATCGGTGAGTCTAGATCAGGAGGGTGAACTTTAGTATGGGGTATCGGAGACGACCGGGTGGAGGAGGGGGGTGGCGCCTCGAACCGCAGAAAGCGTGCCTCGCCTATGGGAACGTGTGAAAATACCAAAGGAAACGTTACTGATTGATATTCGCTTTTCGAGTTGGAAATGTTGGCTTTGTTCAGACTGTGGTGTGTAAAGTTTGGAAAGTATACATATAGCGTGTGTATGCAAGTTTTGTCGATGAACATTACAGTGTAGCCCCGATTCTGAAAATATGAATACTTGTCAAATGTGCAACTGTCATGCTCTCTGGGAATGGCACTTCGCAATAGGTTTGTGTTTGCGCATTTCAAGATAGCGCAGCTGAATGCTTATTACTGGTAGAGTTTTGGTATCTGATATTATTAGATGTTTTCAAGTAATGCATGCACGCGACGCAGTCTAATTGATGTTTTAAAAAATTCAAGTATCAAATACTGTGCCAAATATGTGGTACACGTGACGGATACAATAGAGAATGGATGCATACGAATGTATATTACCTTTTTTTACAATGTAGCGAATTTTGAGTCCTTTCGACTACAAGCGCAGCAGGAGAGAGAAAAGACGAGGCGTTTGTGACGGGCCTTCTTTGGCGCTGTACAAAAGGTAAAGTGACCTTAAACTATAAGATGGGCCACTTTATTCAGGGTGCAAAGGCAGTTTAAAAAGTGACCCAACACACATCGCAGTTACACAGAAAGAATATTTATCTACAGACAAATAATCAGACCGAGGTATTTTTTATGATGTTTTTTAACAGTGACGCCAAGCAGTAATGTGTATAACTCAGTGATTTTGGTGACAATGCATACTGATTGAATTCACGTCAGAAAACCTTTTGGTCCATAAAGTCATAAGAATGGACGTATATATCGATATAAGCAGGTTCGCCACATTCTTCGCGCCATTTCTCTAACTCCGAAGTAGTGACTATATAACGCGCTGATTTGCAACAAAACAAAGCTGTAAACTGTTTCACATGTTAAGATACTAAAATGTTTTACCTTCGTAGTCATCGTCATCTTCCTCCAACGAGCCGGCTCTTCTAGCCATTCTCATCCGGTCGTTCCTACGAGATGGAGGCTGGAAAACAACGTGCTTAGCTGACTAGGGTGACAACAATATGCTAAAACACGTGTTATTTAAAGTACCTGGTAAGCCGCCTAAAACGTTTTACAGTAACAATTAGAGGTCGCTTACAGCATTTATACGTAGAAGAACGCCGAAAAAGTATTTGCTAGATTAGCAAGAAATACGGGGCACCGTTACGGACAATACATAATCAGCATTTAACTTTTTCTCCATACAATCACAGTTAGTGACATTTGCTATTTTTCATTTAGAGTAACCCTCAATAACTTATAGGCCTATATGTATACATTTAAAACTCCCTATGCAATAAGTCTGACGATTTTCTTATTATGTTTTCTTTAACATACGGACTATTTAACCCTTACCTGACTCGCAGATCTAGGCATTACATTGTCACCTTTAGGCTGTTCTGGTCGCGGCCGTGATCTTGACCTCACTCTCTCGTTTTGATGTTTTAAATCTCGCGAGGTTGGTAACGAGCTGTGAGATTCCATGTGAGGATGAAGAGTGTACCAGTGTGGTTTGTTGTCAAGGTAACGTTCATCTGAGGTTGATACAAGAGAAAATAGAGTTAAAATATTTTAATATTTAATTTGGCACAAGCCAAAAAGGTTTTACTTTGATGTTGTTACTTGGGCTAGTGTTATTAAGATTATTTGCACATTAGAATATTATAAGGCAAAGGAAACTCAATCACCAAGGTATAGAGGATGTCTAAACAGTTGCTAAGCTTTAGTCCTACGTAGTCTAGTGATAATGTCAATGAAAAAATTTGTTATACTCACTAGAAAGTCTTAAAAGCACCTCTCCCAAGAAGTCATTAGGCTTAAACCTGTCGTAGTCCCAGACGGTAATTTCCAGCGTCCTCTGCGGTAGTTCTTCCCTCGGGAGATGAAAGAAGACGAAACTCTGGTGCCATTGTGGATTCAGCGTTTTCCGAACATAATCCGTCCTCCGTTTGTTCTCTGAACTGTAAGAAAGAGAAGGATGTCCTAACATAATCGGGTTTGTATGCCTGAGAGAGTATGCAGTTCCAATCCAGAATATCAAGGATATATGTAAATCAAATAGCGGTACTTGTGGACCTATTTTTAACGACAAACCAACGACGTTTCTGTCTCCACTTGAGACCTTTCACTAGATGACGACCTAAATGATTGTTTGCATGTACCTCATTGACTTTGAACATTTACTCCTAGGCTCTGTTCACAACCAAGTTGATCCACGAACAAACTCAGCACTTGAAAGCATGCTGCATTATCCCCTAATTTATTCCCCCTCAAATGCCCGCCGTCCCTGTAGTTGCAAAGGGTAACGTGCGGGTTATACGGGATGCTTTCAAATGGGTCACACCATATTTAATCCGCGGCTCAGTTTGTTCCCGGATCAACTCGGTTGTGAAAAGAGTCATATTCAGCACCGATGTTACTCACTTTCTGTCCGGTAACAAATACACCTTGACGAAAGGATCCGAGCAGCCGGTCAGTCTGTCTTTTGGCAGAAGGTTCCGAGCCTGAATGATATGGACGTTAAGAGATTGGTCACGGTTGTCGTAACTGAGCTGCAGCTGCAGATCCCCCAAGTACCGCTTTTCTCCGCTGTTGCCGCCCCGTTGCTTCTGGAAAGGAACCGCCATTTCATTGCAAAAGACAGAATGTCGCCTTTCATTTTTTCTCGTTTAGTTCATTTCTACTGCATTTGTGTGTGGATTTTGCCTGTTGTTCGGATGGTTAATTGCTGAATTTTGGGGTGTAAATACAGATATATAAATATATTTGTGATCAAAAACTTTACAGACGTAATGGTTGTTTGAAATTGTTTGGGGAACAAAAAGTGATTCTTACCATCGTTGCAAATGCATAAAATGCCAGGGGAGCATCAAACTAGAAGCCGTATTTTTTAAATATACAGTTAACATACACTGAAGGTTTTGTGACGGGCACATAAATATGGTGATAGGGGTGTTGTAAATTTGGGGTTTTCGCAAAGTGTTAGGGAAAGTTGGGGGGGGGAACGAACTAAATGGATGGTGTATCAGCTATAAAATAAGGAAAACATATCAACTATCTGGAAATGGCAAAGTCAAGCTCCAAGCAAAAGCACAAGACCCTACATTCGTTTCAAACACAAATTTTTCATTATCAAACTGAGAGAATTTGCTTTTTCTTTTCTATTTTTTGCGCATTTCACCGCATCTTATTTCCGTACCAACAAAACGGCGTTTCTATACCCGTTTAAGTTGAGAAGATCTCGTAATAAAGCCATCAATATATGAAGCAGGGGGAAGCTGCACTCAAAGCGAGGCTTTTGCGGGGAGGTTGACCAACCCTGCCACACAGAATGGAAGCAAACAGAGAAGAGGGAGGTAAAAGAGATTAGAAAACGTACCCAGAAGATGTAACGGAAGATAGGTGGCAGCAGGAGCATTGTGCACAAGGGCGTGCAGAAGTACCAACCGCCTGAAACGAAGGTGAAAGCAAACCTAATACACACGCCACACAAATAAAATACTGTTTTCACTTCCCAAACCGAGATTTTCTTTTCTTCTACGTCAACATAACATTTTCCCGCGCACATACAGTACATGTATATTAAAGTTTACACAGTGGGATCCCGTGCTATATTAGCCGTGGGGTTAAAAATATATAGCTCACTTTTCTGTCTAAAATTATATCCCTCTTCTGATATCACAAGGGCTAGATTCAGAGGAGAATTTACACTGAATCCGTTAAGATTTCATTTTTTTACATATTTTGTATCGTAATTCAGATTTTGTAGGCTACAAGGTGCTATCTTACCATAGATGAAGGAAAAGAAAAAGTGTTGGCCTCGGAAATTAGTAACGCAGAAGCTTTAATGAAAAAAAAATCTCCGCTCGGAAAGTGAGAGTTAATATAAAGAAGTTAATCAAAAGTGCAAAGAAAACGTGCTACGTGACACAATTGTGTTGAAACCCCCAGTAGGCAACGCGTTACAAGTTGCATTACAAACAACCAGCCGAGGGATGGCGGCGAGTAATACTTGGTGACGCCAAGCGTACGCTAAGATAGCGAAATTGCCACCTCGTTATTCATGAAACATTTCACTGCCTCAAATGTGCATATGGTTACAGAGAAAAACCCCGCAAAATGACGGCCGATCAATTGGTACATGAGAAAGGACTTAGGGAAAGTGTTCACACCCATGTACAAATGTACGGCAGACGAGAATAGCGGCCCCGCGGCTAAAATGTTTCACTGTTCCATAAGCAAAGTAAGCATTATCTCTTAAAATGGCTACCGAGCACTGGAATCGCGACAGATGCTTAGACAAAAGCGCCATTTATCGCTAGCATTTAATCACCCAGTGGTAGAATGAGATGTAAATAAGCTTACTGACAACGGAAAATGACCTATATTATCCTTCGCGATTACATGAGGGATGCAACATTACAAAATGCCTAAAGTGGTTATTGATTAGATGTGTCATTGGCTCTATTCCCATAGATTTTAGATCGATCTATCCCCGCGGGGAGTCTCACTAGATTACTTTCAGATAATCCGACTTAAATGTCCGTCCCGCCTACTACAAGCTGTACGGAGGTAATTAACTTTCGTGTCCGCCCGGCTGACAGCTATTTAGCGTGAACCCCCAGGGAGTTAGGTCGATCTAAAGTAGGTCCATCTAATCTATGGAAATGGGGCCATTGTCTGCTCAACCTGTTCTTCTATTACGGCCTTCATACGGAGTNTGACAGCTATTTAGCGTGAACCCCCAGGGAGTTAGGTCGATCTAAAGTAGGTCCATCTAATCTATGGAAATGGGGCCATTGTCTGCTCAACCTGTTCTTCTATTACGGCCTTCATACGGAGTATGCTGAAGTGTGTGACAGAGGAAAAAAAGGACGATGTTCTACTCCATTATTTGTTAAAAATAATGCCAAATGTATTTAGGGGCATGAATAATTTCTGGAATACCTACCAAGGTCAAAACCTTTTATTATAATTAAACATCACCATTTACGCCCAGTTTGGTCATTATTTATAACAAAGATAAAAAACAGTGTATTATGACCTTTGACCTCGCCATATCTATTGGTTAAAGTGGACCCTCTATTTTAATGGCGCAGCCTCGCAAGAGCCCAGAAAGTATTACCAGCGACTATGTAATGACCACTGGAGGGACCATATGTACCTTTGGTTGTTTCGAAGTCTCCGGCACGTCTGACAGCGGTGAAGGCGTGGAAGCGCTGGGGGTCAGGAAAACCTCGGGGTGGGAGGACGAAGGGGAGACGGCCGGGGAGGACGTTCTCTCTTTTGCACCCTCCAAGTGGGCCGCCAGAGTCTTTGGGTCCACGCCGCGTTTCGGTGGAGGGTCTTTGTGCATAACGACGTAGTTGTCTGGAAATAATAATGCGTGTAATTTCGAATGGAGAGAAACTGTAGGGAAATGTGTAATTGTAAGAAGCAGTTCAGTCCATTATGAAGAAAAATATATCACATTTTAAAAATTAAAATGCCTTTTATAGTATGCCAATTATGTACATAATTCTTGGTTTCACATTTTATCGCAATCGAAAGTCTAAAGCCGAAATAAAGCAAAGCATCTTTCAGCTACTATATGCATATCTCTAACAATGTAAAGAACCAAATGAGTCACTGAGGTTTTGAAAAGACCACCTGTATTATGGTGAGATGTACGTACCCAGGTTATCCAAGTCGTCCGCACTGACAAACTCGAGATTGTCGTAGGAAGACTGACTGCTGGAGATAGTGCCTGATTTCTCCGGGCTTAGGAGATTGCTCCCACTACGCAACATATGCAAAGGATAAAAAAAGGAAAATTCAAGAACTTAAAAAATCGATAGGCTATGTTTTACACTGTGTTTGCGAAATAAATGCCACGGAGAGTTACATATATTCTGTAGTCTTTGGAGCTGTTACTTTAGAGAGTCTAAAATATGATTTTAATTTCCCACATTTTCTTATTAAAAGTAACTTTACTGCAAATTAAATTTCCTTAAAATTCAGTACACAGACCCATATGTTTGAATTTGAAGACATTTCCTCAGTTATCCGATTTTGATAAATTCCTACATTTTGTCCCGATGCATCTCAACAAACTACTGGGGTATTACATGTAACGTGAAAGAATGAGAAATGTAGAAAATGTTTAGTAATGAAATGATTGATAGTATTTTAAGTCAACCAGTGTCTGCTTTTCTTCCGTTCTGTAGGTGCTAGTACATAGCAGGCTAGACAGCCATAGTAATACATACCGCAGACACTGATCGTGTTGAACGTGGTCGTTTGTCTTATGCAGCATGGATAGTGTTACGGTCACATATATGGGCTGGTGGTTTTTTCCAAGAGAAAAAGCGCGTAAAGTGCAGAAATTCTAAGTTGGCTCGTTTTTCCATAGACAAAAGAAGAATGTCTAAAATATTAAAATGGAGATGGTTCCTTTACTGTATTTCATTAGATAAATTGGCAAAGAAAATGCTTGTCTGTTAAGAGAGAGGGAGAGAGAGAGGGAGAGATAAAGAGAGAGATGTTTATAATGTTTATACTCACACTTTCACCACGATATCTATCTCTCCATTTGGAATTGACACTACTTTCTGGACCTCTTCGTACGTTTTACCAGTGAGAGGGATTCCGTTCCACTCCAGTATGTGATCACCTATTTGACAGGTAACGATATTAGAGTGATCAGTTTAATCACTATCAAGCAGCTTCAGTCACTAGATAATTTGATTGCTTACACTGATGACTCGCTGATAACTGCATATGAGTTTTGCATTATAATTTATTGGTAAAGAAGCATAAAAAACGCAATACATATTGTTAAAAGATGTTTACTTTCCAGTCTTTTAAACGCTCTTTTAAAAACCCCGTTTACTTTGTGCAATGAAGCAGCACGGTCAGGTCAATTCTGTTATTGACTTTAGGGTTTGCTTTTACTCAATATTTCATCACCACCAAAACGACACTTAAGGTTAAATCGACACATCGATTTGGCTTCGGCTTACAGCCAATACAGAGTATTCCCTGGTTCATCCAACAATTGCAACATTGCGCAATATACAAGTGGCTAGCATACATGCACATTTCACCTAAAATTAAAGGTTGCCCTTACTGTTGTAACAAAACCGCATCCGATCTTGCGCACTATGCAGTTTGTTACATTCTCATTATCAGCTTGTTTTAGAGGGGCTTTGTTTGCAGCTTTGACAAACACGCGTTCCCCTTTCTGAAGATATTTCATTACCTTCTTGTAATTCTCCATGTAGCTGATGGGCGACACCGCCGGGGTAAATTTTGGCAACGTAAGCGCCAACTTCGTTAGTCCCAGGGATGAATTTACCACCAACGATCTTCAAGCCAACACTGTTACCTAAAAAATCCATGAAATCCCGTTATTAAGTTGACCAAGACAAAAAGTTCAATAATAGGAATATCAAATAAGGGAAAAAGGTCTAATTTAAAGCCAAGTAATAGAACTAACTTCAAAATATAGTTAGGAAAATGTAATCTCTCATTTCTATTAAAATATCTATGCCATGATTTATTCGCTTCTCTAGCCCAGGGCTCATTGAACATCGTGACTTGTACCGACAGGGTTTATTTACTGATATTTCAAAGGCTGTAAATGATCCAAAACCTTTAAGACTGGAAAATCAAATCAAACGCTTACTTATATCATATTTAAAGCATTATTATGCAAGGTATTTTTATAAGGGAATAGAAGTGTTTATGGCTGTGCAATGTGCATAATCAATAAAAAATACCCCACATGTAATAAACATAAATATGTTTACACGCCAAATCCTCATTATTTAGGTTCCGCCCTATACACTGTATCTACGTCTACATGGCACGCACATCAACACGCTCTCCACGACTCGGAAACATGCTCTTTCATGTCCTCAAATAACCAGGCCCGGTTCTTTATCGACCAGCTTTCAATTTGCTGCTTTCTTTTGTTATTTGATAATCATAATAGATTTCGATGTAAGAATGCTTGATAACTGATGCGAAGGAATTCCTCAAAAAGTATACAGTACTGTCTCAACTGGTTGAAAAATTAGATCAGTAGTAAGTGCCTAACACGTGTTTTTTGTCATTTATCAAAATATATATATAAACTGATATTATAGTAATTGCCTAAATATTTCCCAAACAGACATTCTGATTTAAAACCAACAAATATAGTTTTAAAAACATTCCATCACAAAAAGAGAAATGCACTGGTGTAAATCAAAATACGAAGAGAATCGGAATGAAATATCAAAATGTTAGATTTTCTTCATAAAATGACTACATTGACGTAAGTTCAGTAAGTTTTAATATAGAGTGTAATACAAATGGCACGACTTTTAAATGATATAAAGGATCAAACAGTAAGGCTAATAAAGCAAAGAAAAAAATTGTACAATTACTCAAGCTCTAATAAAAAAAACTAATAACAACAATAAATTACTGTATAGAGACAATAATAGAGTAAAACGTAAAAAAATGTGAAACATTATCACGTGACTTGCCGGGGTTCTTCTTGTCCAAGGAAAACCAGTGCAACCCACCTCTGTAAGAACGGTCTTTGGGGTCACGGGTTAGGAGGATGCGCTTAGTAGGGAACGGGTATCTCTTCTCCTCCAGAGGAGGAGGCTGAAAAATTACAAGAAATAAACTCAGTGGCAATCGCCTTTACCATGTATGCAGACAAGAATTGTTTCATTTTATCTCAATGGCGTGCTGGAATATTTTTCTGTGATTTGTTGTTTTGCGTGATAACAAGCACATGTGCAGGGTTAAGGTTATGAAAATCAGAACACCATTAAAGATTGATTTTCTTTTTTCTTTTTCTCTTTTTCTCTCTTTTTTTTTTTTTTTTTTGAGATGTTGAGAGAACAAGTCTGAGGATATAAAATATACCGAATACCCCTGATGACACATAACGCACGAGGATAGAAGACGGTTGAAGAACCCGTGCAAATATTCTGTAAGACAGGTCGACTAGGGTGCCCTTGTAATGTAAAATAATTAGGACCTTAACTTGGTTGTGGGACTGACCCATTTCCACTTTTCACATCGACCAAAACCGCAACGTGTTCAGAATAACAAAGCCAGAAGCAATTTCATTAATGTAGCTTTTGCCAAATCTATTTCTTTCAATAAGTCAAATGCTTTTTATTTGAATAATGACGAACCAATATCTGTATCTACCATGAGATCGTCGAGGAAGAATAACAAGGCATATATACACATTTAGGGATACCGGTCATACAGTGCATATGCTTCTAAAGAAATTAAAGGCAACAGATCATAATTAACATTGATGAGGCCCCAAGTCGATCTACATCTATCACATAAAATGGGTATGTTTTCCAAAAACACAGTGTACATCCAACGCATCGTTCTTATACGACTGGACGTGAAACAGCAGCCCATGGATCACCATTAGGCATGCAAACTCAATAATATTAGTTTGCTCTGCAGGCATCATTGATTGAATTAGCGGCTGGCTGATCGACCTCCATAAATGATTGTCGACAGCCAACTGGGACTTGCGGAGAAACGGCTGATACATGCACATTTTATGGAAATGTGGCTCAAATTTACAGTGAGATGGACGGACCTAGATTGTTGAACAATAATATTTGGGAATAAATAAAAAATGCCATAATATTAATACATGGACTGAAATATCTGTTTGGATGTGGTTTATATTATGTGTTTTGTTTAATTAACGCTTTGCGTGTACTGGACGTGTTACAAGAACAAAATGAGCCTGTAAACAGTTTGCAAGAATCCTCATATATGCCAGATCCAGCGCCTTTTAAAGGATTCATAGCCATCTTCGTCATAAAGTGCTAACACTTTGGTATTCCGGACATTCCCCAAGTCTCGAATGCCAAAGATTATCCCTAACTGAGTCCAAATTGTATTTAACATGCGTACGGCTTCTTTAGTTCAATAATTTCATGTTTTCTGGCCTTACCCGAAGCACACCAGGTGGCTTCCAATAAACCCCCACGTTAAGCAAAGCTTATTAATATTAACGACGTCCAATTATTCTCAATTATTATTCTTGAGGAGTCACGATTTCCCTGAGGTTGACTCGCGAGGTGAGTCAACGTTGTCACTCTAATTTGCATTGTGGTCTGCTGAGGCGTTCTGAAATAGGCCTGCGACTGTCGCCATCTTACTTCGGCATCACATCAAGAATCAGAGTCTGAGCAGGCCATTGCATTGGCAACATAAAACTGCATTTCGATAATTAATGGAACAAGATACAAACTGGGTCACCAAAATGGTGGATTTTTTTCTTAAGAAAAGTCTGTCAAGGTTCCGTTTAATATAAACCAGATAATGAATACTCCTCTCGCTATCATTGGATTGATCACTGTGTATTCAGTGCACGCTCTTCTCATCGCATCAAATAAATGTTATTGGAAGCATGGTATTGATAGATGAGGGCACCGGAGTTCAGGCAGACTCCCCTTTTTCAATTTCCTTACTATTGTGTTTCCAGGAATTGTTAACAAACATTTTGTCTCACGTGTAATTCTGCCACACTATCGCGGTTATGGACACGTGTCTTCGCTGCAGAGGGATCACTCTGTATCTGTCCGGTGTATTTTACTGTTCTTGCACGCCAAGATCGACTTTATTCATGATCAGTGCGATATTGTTTGGCGATATTTCTCTAAGAAGAAAGGAGTCCTCCAGAGTATATTTTGATGTTTTTCACGGAAATATTAAATTAAAATGTACTTAAACAGCTGGTCTTAATGGAATCGTCTGGAATATGGTCAATTACTTATGTCGAGAGATAGACAGTGATGTACAGGTTGACGAATGGGAAACAAGATCAGTTTTAAATTCTTGATTTTAAGACGTGGAATTTCTATAAAATGGTTTAAGAGGCTGACGCAAAGATTTTTTATAATTCTTTAAATAGTTAATGTTAAAAGCTGCAAATATTAAAGGTGGGTTCTGCTTCTTTACATTTGACCGAGATAAACGATAATTCCGGATACACGCTATTCCAGAACATACATATTTCAGCTTCTTTATAATACCTTAATATAATTTTATTATATATTAATATTATTTCAAAGTGTTAACCTACGTGTTTTTTCCTGTCCATCTGTTTGAGTATGGTAATACCGCCCTCGGTGAGGTGTTCCATCAGCCGTTCATTGGGGTCTCCCAAACTGTCCGTGCTGTCGTATCTATGCATAGCTAAAACAACGAAAAAATGAATTAAACACATTTTAATAAGTAAATGAGATAGATAAAAATAAATGTTACTAAAAATCATGTGCGTTTTCTCTCTGCAATTCTTGTTTTTATAACTTGTTAAACTTGGGCGGATGTGGCATTTCAGGAACATAAATTTATCCCTTTCATAGCATTAAGTATATCAACATCTCTTAATACAAATAGGCTTCCACGATAAAAGCAATAGATAAAAAAATAAGAAGGAGAAAGAAAAAAAAAGAAAGGAAAAAGATACAGGTGTTTATTGAAAGTCAATATCTATGTCAAGGAGAATACTTACAGTATGTCATTTTTTTTACTTTTTACACTAGTACGACATATATGATCATGTGATTCACACAACGTCAGATCAATATCAGCCCAAAATAGGCATGCACGCTTGCCTCAATTTGCAGGTTAGTAATCCCAGAAGTAATTAAATCTCAATATGCTTAGATCGTTGCATGAGGTTGGGAGAGATCTTTTCAGGGCATAAATTGTACTAGTTATGTCACTCCAGCGTAAAGGATGTGTCCACGTAGGTATGGCGTCGGTGGAGGTTTTCTTGTCAAAATGAATTGATTCTTATTGCCAACTGATACATGTACCTTTTCACGCTATGGCGCTGCCTACCGCAGCCAGGTAGTTCTTGGACCAAGGTGGATAAAATGTTTTTGAATACAGATTTCTTCAAACCATACAAAGGCTATCAAACCGTACGTACTAAATAAAATACAGGTTGTTACAGGCCTGTTATTAACCGGCAGTTTCACATTTCTCCCTAATCATTGA